TGTTTTTATTAAAAATAATTAAGTACTAATGGAGTTGATTTAATTATGCTTTATTGTTTATTGTTTATTATTTACATGTGAATTGAATTAAACATATTCAACTCAAGATCTAGACTCAAATCTTATTATTATATAGTAGTAATACATAAATTCAATATTAATATTAAACATACTAATTAAACAATCAACAAAACACTTCCTTTATATGGGGAGAGCATTCCTGAACCAATACACTGTTGATTACCAAACTATTTTCTGTATATAATAAGCGATTGACTGTGGTAAAATAAATCAACGCAAAGTTAGATTTCTCTTTTGCTATATTAAAGTTTTTTTATTTTATTTCTGCTTAAATGAATATTATAAGATTGCTCCTATATAAAAATATAAATGTAAACTTAGTTTATGTAATAGAACTATCACAAGTTTTTTTTAAAAAAGGAGCAAAGTGGCAAAATAATATCTTGTATAATTAATTATATAGAATGTTGCCAATCAAGTCTGCCAAAAAGAAAGAAAAACAATAAACACTGGGGAAAAAGAAGCAGTACGAAAATGAGCAATCATTATAGTTGGCTTCGTAGGAAAAAAAAGCTCAATCCCCGAAGTTACGCAAATATGCGCAATAGTAACCGCAATTGGCTCCGTTTATTAACGGTAACAGGATAACAGGCAAAAAAAAACGTATTAACATTACAGTTTTAACTGCATCATGGAGGGTTATCGTTACACGGCAGAAAAGGTCAAAAATTTTCATAATCCCCAACTACCAAACAAACTTCAAGAAAATTTTGGTTTCGCATTTGTAATCTATATATATATATATATATATATATATATATTTGAATTACAAATAGCTGACTACGCTTACAAATTACGATTGTTATTATTATTATTATGTTAATAAACATTTACGGATTTACGGATTTACAGTTTTTGCGAATAATAATAGTAATAGTAGTAGATTTTATTCAAAAATTCCGATAAAATTTCAGAACTCTTGTGTAATCGCTAAAAAAAAGTTGAAAAAAGGGTCTCTGTGACACAATTCCCTAAAAAAGAACGTAGAACATCAATGTCCCGAAATATTACTTTAAGAAACCGGGCTTTCCGGTTTTATGTTATTTTATTATTATTATTATTATTATTATTGATAAATCCAGATTCAAACTGGTTTTATTTTATGGTACATGGAATCATTCCTGCACGTAATTTTTAAAAAGAATATGAAACAATACATAGATATGTCACACATAGAATTGTGTAATAAAATTTTGTTTTATTAAAATAAAGTTTTAAATTTGCTAATGAAACAATAATTCGTGTGCAATGTTAAACGACCAATTCCACGAAACTAATTCACAAATAAAATATAAACAAAAAATCGAACTATTTTTTTTTGTAAATCACAGATGGTATGTTTTACATTGTATCCCAAAACATTGTACAAATCTTTAAACATTAAATTGATAGGTGTTTTAATCTGCATATGAATGATTAAAGAAAATAATCGACCATGTTTAAGTTGTTATGTCGTATCATTTTGTAAAAACAATAGAAAAAAAATGTCAAAACCCACAAAGTTTAATATATCTATGTCGATCATATTATTATTATTATTATTATTATTATTATTATTATTATTATTATTATTATTTATTATGTATGACATAAAATGTATTTGTTCATCTATGGTCTATGGGCGTTTTTATATAGTTTTTTTATTTGTTAGAAATTATCATAGCCCAGTCTATATGTGTCTATATAAAAAATTCCTCGCCAAATGGAAATTGAATTCATTTTCGTAAATCACGTAAAGCATATTGATTGAAAAAGAAAAAGAAAAATTCTAATGTTCATTGTTGAAACCAGAGGATTAAAGTTACGAAAAGATCAGATAAAATTTAGAAAATTTTTATGATTGGCAAAAAAAAATAAAGGACAAATTACAAAGTATGAAGAATTTAATCCAAAACTTCCTGTTTGTGTATACGTAAATCCTGGATAGAAGTTGACACTGTTTTATCTATAGGAATAAATACAAGTATAAAAACATAATATTTATGTGTAATGATGAAATAAATATGGGTAATGCTACTGCCGCTAGAGTTTCCAGCTGCTCTAGAGAGTATCATCAGTCTTTACTTTTTTCTTTGGGTAGGTTTCGTTTCTATTCGTAACACAAATTCTTATCTGAATTATGCAATTGTAATAGGATACTGGATTATTATAATTGATGTAGCATCTGATTTTGATAAAGTTTTTGCTGAAGTTACATGAAAACTTGGGTAAATACTTTTAATAAACGGGTATAACAGAAAATTTTTATTATAAGTCATATCCAAAATCAGGTAAAGCAATTTTTATGTCACGAAAAGCAAAAAATTTTAAAATAGAAAAATAGGCAAAGGTTCAATTGTAATCGATGAATTTTCTAAAGACCCTACTTATTACCAATACTAAATTATTGATTCAAATAATGTTTTATTTTATGTACATTGAAACTAATAATATCATATTAGATTCAAATATGGGTTTATTGAGAATTAGTAAAGAACTATGTTAATATGATTTTTAGATAAAAATATATTGGATAATTTTTTTCAATTGTTACATATGAAGTTACATGTCTTATATTGATAAAGCTTTTAATCTTTTGACATGTTATATGCAAAAATGGGTAATGGAGAAAAATTTGGGTAAAGTTTCATTTTATTCGTTATTCGAATAAACATTCAATTCTTATTCAAATAAAAACCATATATTAAGATAATTTGCTAGTAAAAATAAATAAATTGCTATTATTATTATCACTACAAAGGGAAAACATCAACTATCATGATTAATCGACCAAAGAAAGAAAAATAAAGAATGTCAATTGTTTCTGATTGTTTATTGTTATTATCACTACAAAAGGAAAAATAGAAAACTTTTTTGATCGGATTAGAGTGCATATACTATTGGGGTTAGTCACAATGGTTGATCATCACTATGTGCGGATTTTTTAATGTTACACGTATATATCATCAAAACATTATTATTATTATAGTAAATAATCGAAACTTTAAAACGTAAATAGTGTGTTCCTAATCGAAAATCAGATTTTTTACGAATATTCGAAAATCAATTTATTCAAGGATATTTGAATATATATATTTTATTTCTTAATTATTTTGGATACTCGTAATTATTTTGGATACTTGTATTTATTTTAAATTTCAAACATTCGTTATGATAAAATATGAATGATTATCGATTGATAACATATAGTATTAACTTATTTGTAACTTATCTTACTATATAACAAACATTTTTCAAAGATAATAAAGAATTTACAGAAAAATTTTCCTAATACTCAATTGTATAAATCATTTTTAAAATGTCATAATATTCTTACACCTGATAAAAATTGATGATACTTTTTTGATTTGTATGATGATATAATTTATTAACAATTTTTAAATATAGCTTGAAAAGAACAATCAAATTGATGATGTCCAAAAAGAAACTTTATCAATTAAAGAACAAGAAAAATTTAATAATAGTTTGTTAGAATTTATACAAATATCTGAAATAATGAGCATACAAAATAATCACGAGTATCCAAAATAATCACGAGTATCCGAAATAATATTCGAAATTCGTAATTTTGGATTTACGAATATTCGAATATGGAGTTATAATTACGGTTAGGAACCCTATTTGTAAAGAGAGTAATAGCTCAAAGGTCATGGTTCACAGTGAATTCAATCAAACCAAAACCTGGTGATTTAAATTACATTATCCTTGCACCAGAAGGCAGGCCTTAATTATGCAATTTAATTTTGTGCAAATGAGGATGTAATTATGAGTGAATATGCACGTTCATCTTTTAAGAAAGGAAGGCCCTTAAAAGTAGACCCTACCTAATTGAGGAAAAATAAAGAATAATGTTAACAATGATTAACCTTTTAAACAACTTTTAAAGACAAATTACAGTCAGATAAAGCGAGGTATTGGGTATTTATTCCTCAAAGCTACTAAATCAAGTGAAAAAACTGAATTAAAATATACTGTCGCCCAACTGTAGGTCGCCTTGATGAATTCTACTCAATGCAATTTAATTTTGTGCAAATGAGGATGTAATTATGAGTGAATATGCACGTTCATCTTTTAAGAAAGGAAGGCCCTTAAAAGTAGACCCTACCTAATTGAGGAAAAATAAAGAATAATGTTAACAATGATTAACCTTTTAAACAACTTTTAAAGACAAATTACAGTCAGATAAAGCGAGGTATTGGGTATTTATTCCTCAAAGCTACTAAATCAAGTGAAAAAACTGAATTAAAATATACTGTCGCCCAACTGTAGGTCGCCTTGATGAATTCTACTCATGTACCCATAAACCCCGGCTGATAACAAAAGCCCTGAATTTTCCTTTCATGACTGGATATATTCATGTGGCGCAATTATTTAATGGAGAAGGGGGCCGGACGTAGGTAGATTATCTATCACTATGATACAACTCAAGGGATAAGGAATTCTATTCACGGTAACGTAAAAGATATAAGCTCTGTCAATGTATAATCTAGATCTAGAAATTATAATCTTATGGATGGATATTGGCAAAATGATTACGTGAAAACCATCATGTTTTACTCCAGTTTAAAAATCAGTTTTAAAACCGCAAGACAAATGTTGAGCTGATCACATTATTATTACTAAATTCACAAATTCAGCGTGCAAGATGAGTCATCAAAAAAAAATCAGATTTACAGATTGTCATGCCATCTTTGATAAAGAGCCACTTAGCGAGGTTGACTCTTACAATTACATCCAGGAGGAGTAATCCTCTTGTAGACTTGTCTTGTAAATTAATACTCGCTTGGTACTGCTTGCAAGTAATAGATTAAATGTTTTAAGTTTTAGTGGTAAATGTTGATTGAAATAATTTTGTGACACAAATTTTTTTTTAAAAACATAAAATCAAATTCTTTTTCAAATTAAACAATCAAGAAAAAATGTACGCAACAAAACCAAATAAAAATCAATCATTCGAAAATATGATTTGGCATCTTTTAGATAATTATTTGTATAAAAATGCCATATACTTAACGGAAAAACTTTATGCACAAGATCATAAGAATGAAAACTTGCTTTTTTTATTAGCAACTTGTTATTATCGTAGCGGTCAAAAGAAAGCAGCACATTGGTTGTTATCAGAGGCTCAATCAATAAAATGTAAATACTTATTTGCTAGATGTTGTTTAGATCTTTGTAAGCCGGAAGATGGTAGAACTGTGTTATTAAATATTTTACCAAATTTGGAAGAAATTGATCTTTTCGGTAAGCTGTTCTAGACGATTTCAAATATATAGCAATAGATGAAACCAACGTCATTTTAAATTCTATTATTTATTCTATTTTGCAAATAAATAGGTTCAGAGAATTCTTTAACCAGAAATGATAATCCTGATCTGGCATCAGCATATTGCTTGTTAGGGAATTTATGTAAAAGCTCACATAGAGTTAATGAGGCAGCTGATTATTATATCGCTTCTATAAAGTCAAATCCGTTCATGTGGGAAGCTTTTGAAAATCTTTGTAAATTGGGTAAAAAATCAAATTTTTAATTATCCATCATATATAAATTCAATCTTTTTTCTAGTAAATAAATGTTTTTATAATAAAATATAGGCAAATCAAACCATCTAGATGTTAAAGAAATATTTACTATAGAGAATGTGAAATCAAATATTGAAAATTCTGACTCTGATTTGGTAATTTTTGCTCTGGGATATTTATATATATGTGTGTGTGTGTATATGTATATATATGTATTTGATCTGATTATTTGAATACTTAATTTATTCTGTTGTGATTAAAACTTATCAGTTTCCTGTGAATGATGATATTTCTTCAATAAGGGTTAGTGTTAATTTTTTTTATTTAATATTTTTTTAAAAAAGATTTGCAATATTTCTCATAACTTTTAAAAGTAATTATATTATATACTGATATGTTTTCATAACAGTATACTACATTATCTTCAACTCGCAAAATTGATAACAGAAAACAAAAACGTTTTCGTATTACAAATGATGATAAAAGCAACACAGGGTCTGATGAAAATAATATTAATAAAGATAGAAAGGTTAGCTTTTTTTTGTTTGTTTTTTTTTTAAAAAAAGTTCTAAAAATAATAATTTTATTAATTAAAAAAATAACAGGAATTAGATATTAAGGAAGTTATGGATATATATCAGAATTTGGCCAAAGGTTATTCATTTTTAAGTCAGTATGAATGTTCTAAGGCTATTGAGGCTTTCTTAGAACTTCCTACTTCTCAAATAAATACTGGATGGGTACACTGTAATATGGGAAAAGCTTATTTTGAGATGGCAAATTATACAAAAGTAATAATTTAATCATAATTAATTTTCATTTTTAAATTTTAAATAATGTCCATACATAAACAAATAAATTGATTGATTGATTGATTGATTGATAATATAGGCAGAGGATTGCTTTTCAAAAGCACTTCAATTAGAACCTTATAGACATGAAGATATGGAAATATACTCCACCACACTTTGGCATTTACATAAAGATGTTGCACTCAGTGTACTTGCCCATGAACTTTCAGATTTTGAATGTTCGTCACCACAAGCATGGTGTGCTATTGGTAATTGTTACAGCCGTCGACAAGAATATAACCTAGCGTTAAAAGCCTTTGATCAAGCAATACAACTGGACCCATCATTTACCTATGCATATACTTTATCTGGACATGAATCTATGGCAAGTGGTGACGTTGATAAAGCTGTAGAATATTTTAGGAAAGCTTTGCATACTAATGAGCGTCATTATAATGCACTGTAGGTGTTATTATATTATTATAGTTTTTATATAAATTCTGTTATAATCTTTTCTATTTACAAAAATATATATATTTGTTTATTTATTAGTTATGGACTTGCTAAATATTATGAAACATCCGGTCAAATTGAAAATGCAGAATTACATTATAGAAAAGCTATGGACATTAATCCTAAAAATGTAGCCTTGTTATGTTCTTTGGCCAATGTAAACTTTTATTCTAATATATTGATGATATTACTATTACCATTGTTATTATTGTCAAAAATCAAATAATACGTTAATAGTTTTGTTGCGTGGTGTAAAAAAATTATATAGGTATTGGAAAAGTTGGATAGACATCCAGAAGCACTTTTACTTTACAGTCAAGCTCATGATATTAATCCACAAACACCTCTAGTAATGTATAAAAGAGCAAGAGCATGGTATAAAGATGGTCTATACGAGGTATTATTACTATTATTAATGATGTGATTTTTTTTTAATTTATATTTATATGCTTACATACATGTTCATATACATGGATGTATGAAAGCATGCACTTAAAGAACTAGAAAAATTAAGAATGCTTGTTCCAAATGAGCCCAAAATGTATTTTCTTATGGGCAAAATCCATAAAGCAATGGGTAATAAATTTAAGGCTATGGAGAACTTTACTTTGGCATTAAACATGAATCCTAAAATAATGCCAGAAGTAGAGACTGCGATTAATAGAATGGATGATGTATCTATAGAATCTTTAACTGGTCAACCAAAAAAAAGAGTTATAATTTACCGTGATGATTATAGTAATAATAGTAATAATAATAGTGATGATAGTAATGATGATGGTGGTAATAATAATAATGATGGTGGCAATAATAATGATGATGGTGATAATAATAATAATGGTAATAATAACAATAACAATAATAACAATAATTATTAACTTGGCTTTGAAAATAAAGGTTTAAGTCGGGAAAGAATTAACCGAATTCAAGAACAACACACGGCAAGGATGCTTTACTATCATGTATTCGCTTAATATCTAATAAATTACAATAACAAATTTGTGGTTTATAATGAATACTTTCATTTTTATTTTATTTTATTTTATTTCTACTATTACTATATCTATATCCCTACTACTACTACTACAAAAAAAAATCCGAAATTGTATATTTATTACCATACAAAAAATTTTTTTCCACTTTTTTAGTAGTTAATAATTACAAAGTAATTCAATCAAGAGCAAAAAACGGACATTTAATTTGAGTAGCGTAATAATATATTTTAATAAGGAATTAAATTTTAAACGTACTCTAAATGAAACAAAATTCGCTATAAACTTGGTGTCAATCCACAAAAGAAAAGCAATAACAAAAAAATTTGGTACATGCATGTTAGACTAGACACCTTTTTAAAAAATTTTATTTTGTGCAAATACTATTACTATCTATCTGCCTTTGGAAAATCATATGCGCTCTCATTAGGAAAAAAAATAGATTGGCAGTTTTTTCCAATTTGGACAAATTCTTGATTATCATCAAAAATTTTTTTAAAAAAAATTTTCTAATATTCTCAAATAATATAAAATTATGGGCGACACACTTTCACTCCGGGGTACACTCGATGGTAAAGTTATGATATGATAATTGATCAAAAGAATTATTATTGATTGATTGACTACTTTCATTAATTAATTTGATTATTATTATTATTATGATTAATTTATTTAGGACACTCGGGTTGGGTAACAGCTATTGGTAAATTTTAATAATGACATTATTGATTGATTGATTGATTGATTAAATCAATATATTTACATTCATATACGTATATATACATACAAACAATTTGATTAGCTACAACATCGGAAAACCCTGAAATGATTTTATCTTCTTCTCGCGGTATCCATTTATATGCTTTTTTTTTTCTCGAGACAAAATTCATTCATTAATTAATCATTTTCTTTAATTAAAAAAAAACAGATAAAACCATTATTGTTTGGCGACTGACACGAGATGAACACAATTACGGAGTTCCTCGCAAATCATTAACAGGTCATAATCATTTTGTACAAGATGTTGTAATTTCGTCAGATGGACAATTTGCCTTGTCAGCCTCTTGGGATAAGACACTTCGATTATGGGATTTGAATACCGGAACGACTACTCGTCGATTTGTTGGGCATGAAAAAGATGTTTTGACAGTTTCTTTTTCGCCGGATAACAGACAAATTGTTTCAGGATCAAGAGATAAAACCATCAAATTATGGAATACACTTGGTGAATGCAAATTTAATATTCAGGAGGATGGACATACTAATTGGGTATCTTGTGTTCGGTTCTCGCCAAATCCCTCCAATCCAGTCATTGTATCATCCGGTTGGGATAGACTTGTAAAGGTGATTATTATTATTATTGTAATATATACATATATATTTTTGTGTGTTTGACTATGATGTTCAAATTAATACTTATAATATTTGCTACTTTGGAGAAATTAAATATATTTCAAAGAAAAAATTTAACCAGATCTGAGTCATGCATATTTACACATATACATTTATTTAATTGAAAATTGAAAGTATATATTTATTATTTTGAAGAATTAACAAAAAATATATACATACATGTAGGTATGGGAACTTGGAAAATGTAGACTTAAAACTAATCATCATGGACACAGTGGATACATTAACACTGTTACCATTTCACCAGATGGATCACTTTGTGCATCCGGCGGAAAGGATGGTATTACAATGTTATGGGATTTGAATGAAGGCAAACATTTGTATTCATTAGAAGCAAATGATATCATAAACGCTTTAGTGTTCAGTCCAAATAGATATTGGTTATGTGCTGCCACTACATCTTGTATTAAGATTTGGGATCTTGAAACTAAAAAAGTTATTGATGACTTAAAACCTGATTTTACAGAAACTGGCAGACACTCAAAAGATCCCGAGTGTATCTCTTTGGCTTGGTCACCTGATGGTACTACATTATTTGCTGGATATACAGGTATAATTAATTATTGATCTCATGTTATTATTGATTATTATTATCGTTATTATTTTACTAATAGATGCTCTTTTGTATTATAATTAAAGACAGCAAGATCAGAGTTTGGGAAGTCCTATAATATCTCACCTATATAAAAGATGATTCTTGTTAAAAAAATTTACATATTTATTGTTATTTTAATATTATTTTTTTTTAAATAATAAATTAATCTCATATATGAAAATATGGGCATGCTTTTTTAACATATTAGTTAATGTGTTAAAAATAAATTTTTGTGCAAAATTCCACTTGAAACACCCTTTGAGCACTAAATCTGTAGCCTCCTGAATTTGCAATGCTGAACATTAAAAGGGTTCACTGCTGCACATGCGTCATGCTCACTATCAACCGATCATTTACATACTTTCTCTATCTCGCTAACTATCACATCTTCAAATTACTTTCCATGCGTATTACCATATCTGGTAAAGATATGCAAATGTCAACAAAAATTTCAGCTCGTATAATTTCAACCAACTTGAACTTCGGATCCTCGCTTGAAATATTAACATTCTAATGAAATAAAAACTCTGTAAAATTATTATATTTTTAAATAATTAGCCCTTAAAAAATTGTAAATAAACCTTTAAAAACAAAAATATTGTCTTAATTTTACTTTACTTTTCGCTTAAAATGCTTTGGTAAAAAGCCAGGTTTTATTTGTTTTAGTGTAAGCAAAGGTTAGGACCAACATTGGTTAACTAGTGAGTGTAATTACTATTAGTAACGATATTTGCTCTAGTGAGTAAGGGCTAATGTTGATTAGCTAGTGAATGTTAACAACGATTAGTAAACGTAATTTGCTTTAGTGAGTAAACAGAGAGTATTGTTGCCGTAATCGTAGGTGAAAGACCGTTGGACAAGCCGTTTAAGTTGTATTGTAAATAAACCAAAGTTAGAACTTACGTGTGAGCCATAATCATTAAAAAATTTTGGTTCAAATTGAACAATCAAACCATTTCAACGATTCGAACCAATTACAAAAATCTTGCACAAAAACGTACATAATAAGCAATGTTGACTTGTAGCTTAGGTTCTCAAAATTATATATGCAAAATTTATTTCTCCAAAATAAAATTTTTTTTTTTTACAATGTTTTGAAATTTTTGTAAACAAGTATAATTTTTAATACAAATCCTTCAAAAGTCAATGCGGAAGAATCGTCATTCTTTATAAAAACAATGTAGGAAAACGATTGATATATTTTAAACACCAACATCTGAAAAATTGTGTATTTTTTTTTTATGAATATACATTATTATGACAGGATTAAATTGTAATTACTCCCATTACAAAGTCACTCCTGGGACAAATAAAAAATGTCTGTATAATAATAACATATACAACAGAAGTTCATAAAATCACGTGATTCGTGAAATAAAACTAAAAGCAAAATCGTTTTACATATTACAAAATTTTTATTTCTTTTATAGTGTAAATATAGGACCGGGAAAACTCTATAGTATGTGACCGCCAAATTAAATGGCAAATCATATTAATGCGAATCTTAGTTTTTTAT